CTTTCAAAACCTTAAGTTACTTAAGTCTTATTTATAACTAGCATAAAAATTGAAAACTTAAACGCTTAATGACGGGGAACTATTGGAGATAAATTAAAATACATTCAGAAGTTTAAACCATTAAAATGTTTTTCAAGGAATATTTAATACGGTAGATAATATATGCTTATCTAACATGTATTTTTATATCACTGAAGCTAAAGCAAAACATTCTGTTTATTGGTAAGTATGGCCTGTATGTGTACACTACAGTGCAATTTAAAAAATATTCTAATTATAATATCAGAACTTCAGAATCTAAACAGATGCCAGTGTTCTCTCCTTTTTTTATATGGGAAAAGAAAATCCTTTGAAAATCATTTGAAGCTTGGACAAAAATTCCATAGTTATATTCTTAGGATGACTCTGTAGAATCTTCATGATTCAGATGATACAAGGGAAGCTTCAATTCAACCTTTCAGAGAAGACATTCCAGCTCTCATGATCTCATCAACCAGGAGAATGTTGGTGGCAATCACAGTGCTGAAAAGGGGGGAAAAAACCATACTACTCAGGGCTGAGGTATGAACTCTAATTCAACTCATAATTCAACTCAATCTCCAACTAAATTGCACAAATTATATCCAGTCAGGTTTCCCCTTTCCTTTCCATACATAGAAGGCTCCCTTAGTTGCTACTTTTGACTGATTACCTTTTCTTATGGAAAGAAAATTAAACAAAACATACCAATTTTAAAGAGTATGAATATTCCCCAAATGTTATAATTTTGGCTTTCCCAAACTTACCAGGAATGAAGAAGCTGTTTCTTTACACAATAGTTATCCCATACGCCTACTTCTGCTGCTACCATTGGCTCACCTGAAAAGTAACCCAGTATTCTTAAAATCATGCAGAGCAGGTCATATGATCAGAATACTGTCTGAAAGAACTAATAAGAGTATTTTGTGCTGCTTCACTCATCAATGGTCACTCATTCCAGTATTATCTATGAGAACCCAAAGTTCCTCAAATTAGCCCAATGTTGTACTCCAGACCATGACTCCTGTGCACAGCAGCTTTGATGAGCGGCTGACCTCCACTTAGAATGCTTCCAGTGATAGGAATGCTCTATTTGGTCATCAAATATTTGAACATCTCTGTTTTTCTGGAGACATTCCTATTTATCCATATTAAAGTATAGCACCTGAACTATAATCTGGCAAAACAGGCTTAACATTACCCTCATTCCAGAAACCTTTTAAATTAATTGGGAGACTGGGATTGACATATACACACTACTATATATATATATATAAAATAGATAGTAACCTACTGTATAGCACAGGGAACTCTAAATACTCTGTAATGACCTATATGGGAATAGAATCTAAGAGTGGATATATGTATATGTATAACTGATTCACTTTGCCATACAGCAGAAACTAACACAACATTGTAAATCAACTATACTACAATAAAAGTTAATTAAAAGAAAAAGAAACCTTTTATATTAACTTGAATGTAAATGATGCTGTTCATAATAGGTCTTACACATACTGCACAGATGTATCTCAGGTATCTTCCACTTTGTACTTGTAAAATTTGGATTACACTGGCCTGAGATCAGGGCTTCACTCATTTTATTAGATTTGGTTCCCTCTTCCTGCATTTTTTGCTATCCTCGGCCTTTTTTCACCCATGAGTATGATTATGAAATGTATCATTTTAATCAAAGTCCCTGATAAAAACAGTAAAGCAAGCTCAACATGAAACCCTTCAACATTAACCCAAACCACCTACCACAACTCAGCAATATCAACAAATCTGTACTCTTCTAAACTATTCAAATGTCTCCTCAATTCCCTTTATTTCTGTATCTAGTCATTACATTTTTGTATCATACTTTAGAACCCAGAGATCCAGGACAGCACTGGTGTCAAAGAGCAAAAGCAACTCCAAGATTCTTCTCTCTCCCATTTTTTTTATCCTTCCTGGTCTTACCTCACCTATAGTATCTAGTTCACCCCCTACAAATAGTCACATCCTCCTTACCTGTGTTCAAGTCTACACCCACAAGTTGACCTGATTCTGAATGCTCTGCTTTAACTTTAACTAGTGTTTCCTGAAGGTCAAAACCAGAGTTCTGAGCAAGAACCTGAAGGAAACAAATTTATTTAAAAGATAGGACCTAATAACAGATAGTCAAGTCTGTAATAAATGAACAGTATTTCCAATTAATAGTTAAAAAAACAAAGAAAAAAAACCTTTAATAAGTGAAAACAGACCGGTATTTATGTTCACTTCAGAGAATGACTAGATACACATTACCAACCAACTCACTAATCCACCCCAAGCCCAGCAATACACTGGTCATAAACTGTACCCTCAAATAAGCATACAATAGAAAAATCACAGTATTAACCTTAGTTTAAAACAAAAACAAAAAGCAAGTTTGTACCCCCACACTGCAAACCCTCTTAAAACAGCTATCTCTTGCCATCTGAAACATCAGATACTCACGCCTCCCCTCCAGAGGAACCAATACGTTTAGATAATAAGAAATACCTGTTCTACTGTTAGGGTGAAAACTGATGAACCCTTTTTATTCAAAATCCACATTATGAAAAAACCCACATTAGCAAAAAGTTTTCATGAGATGAATCATTTTGGTGTAGCTCAGAAAACAGTTAAAGCATTCACACCTTGGGAATAATGAGCAATGCATCAGCAAATGCTTGAACTCCAAGTTGGGCCCTGCCCTTTACACTGGGCTTGTATTTAATCAGGGCTTCTGCCATTGCCACTTCCACTGCACCAGCACCCGGAACTACACAGCCTGTTGGGTGGGAGGAAGAGAGAAATGCTAAGCTACAAAGAAAATAAAACTGTAGAGGCAATTGTAAGAAAATATATACATTAAAACACACACAGGAAATCCATCAATTTGAGAATTCAGTATAACCACAGCAATTTTAGTATCACATTTGAAAGCAATACAGGCAACATTATCAAACAGCAGAATGATTTAACTAGCACATGGAAAATCCTGAAAGCTCTTAGTATTAGATCATTTATTTGTAACCCCTTTTAACAATAGCATGCCATGAAAAAACTTAGCATACCATCATAGCCATTTTAAAGGTAAAACTTTACTTTTGCATGGTGTCTGGCTGTGTAAACTACGGATAAAAAGAACACAGTATTCAGCCATGCCTTTTAGACTAGCAAAAGAATATAAATACAGTGATGATCTTACCATCATCAATAGCATTTTTAACAGCCCTCAAGCCATCTCTTATTGCATCTTTGATTTGAGTAAGTGTGTGCTTATTTGGTCCTTTGATCAATAATGTGACCGATCGAGGATTGTTACAGTTCTCAATAAAGGTGAACTTCTCTTCTCCCTGTGTGAAGAGACAGTATTTTCAAAAACCAGGATACGGTTGTGCAAAGAATGACCAGACGAGAGGGCTTTATGAAGGAATAAGTAGCATATTAAAAAGGCACAGCACTAATCACATTAAAGCAAATAACTTCTTTTAAAAAGTCACATAGGGCTTCCCTGGTGGCGCAGTGGTTCAGAGTCCGCCTGCCGATGCAGGGGACACGGGTTCGTGCCCCGGTCTGGGAAGATCCCACATGCCGCGGAGCGGCTGGGCCCGTGAGCCATGGTCACTGAGCCTGCGCATCCAGAGCCTGTGCTCCGCAACGGGAGAGGCCACAACAGTGAGAAACCGTAGTCATAAAAAAAAAAAAAAAAAAAAAAAAAAAAGTAACATAAAAGAAATGTGATTTTCCCATCAATGGCTTATCATTACTACATATAAATCATCAAAATGTGTATTAACAAAGTTTGAATGAATTTTTAACTACTGAAGAATTCATGAGCCAAAAAGTAGTATTATTTTGGAAAGAAAATACACTTACCAATGTATATTCATAGACAAGTCCTGCATGTCCCAAACAATCAGGATTTAGGTCATCAAGAGAATTTAGGGCTACCCCACCACAAGCAAGAGTCAGCCTGAAATATTCAAGTGTTTTAAGGAAGATGCAGAAGGGATTTTATTAGTTATGTTTAGAGATTAATATTTTTAGAAAGCAATCTTTATCAGAATTACATGCGAAAATCATATTCTAAAATATATTTTAAGCTTAAGCCTTTCCATTCACCACCAACTTGCTGAAAACTGGTCTATTCTCCTAACTCTCCATTTAAGCCACTATTAAGTCAGCAAATATTCCTCTGATATGAAATCTAAAGGTGCACAGAGCTCTTCACCATGGTGAGCTCTTTGGAAGAAAGTATTCCTCTGAAACCCTTGATGCTGTCTCTTGACATGGAAAAATATGTACGGTATAGGTCATCATTTAAAAATAAAACAAGTATATCAACAATCATAGCAGCACTATTCACAACAGCCAAGGTGGAAACCCAAATAAATGTCCACTGACAGATAAAGGAATAAACAAAACTAAATGTGGTATACCCATACAATGGAATATTATCCTTAAAAAGAAATGTGATCCTGGAAAACACAGGTAATGTGATAAATTTTATATTATGTATATTTTATCGCAATAAAAAATAAGAAAATCACAAAAATAAGAGGAAAAAAGGAATAATCTAAGTTAACTTGCAAAATAAGTGAAATTCATGTCAGATAATCTGCTATCCGTACCTTTCCATATTTCTCCTTTTAGCTCTGCGCAGAGCTACTATGCCTTCTTTTGCAAGAGCATCTAAGGAAAAGGGGTCAATTCCCTATAACAACAATAAAAAGTAAGTTTCAATATTTTACCTTTAAAATAAAAATAGATACACACTAGTTTATAAAACAAAATTTCTCACCTTTTGATTAATAACAACAAATCCTTTATCTGAATCACCACAGACTTTCTTTTTCAGGTCTATTATTTTTTTAACTCTGTCTTCAATGAATTTTCTTTCAGCTTTCACTAGTTTCTCTCTCTCCTCTGCACTCTTGTAAAAAAAGCCAGAATTCACTTCTCTAAAAAAAGGAAGTTACAGAAAGGGGAGGAAATATTTAGCAAATAGTCACCGAGCTCCAATTCTACCCCTGGTATGATTTCAGAGACTATTTCCTGTAATTTTCCAAAACCCCATTGAGGCATTATTGTCCATACAGCGGGGAAACTGAGTCTCACAAAAAAGTGACTTACCCCAAATATCAAGCTCTTCCACCTCTCTTCCATTTTTAAGGAGCTATATATAAACTCACGTTTTTTCATATTCTAACGACACGTTGCATGTGAGGATGTACACATCTTCTACTCTCTTTTTCATATCAGGATGCCGTGCCCCATGGTCCAAAACAAGACCTCTGATCAAGCTGTTACAAAACATAAAATTATATTCTTATTGATTTCCAGATGGGGTGTAACATATGCTAACAAAACTAAAACAATGAATTGAGACCGTATTGATAATTTTCACACAATCAGCTTTATTTCTTGAGCTATTTGAACAGGACTTTTGGGTAATACCTAGCAAGGTTCAATTGTGAAAAAGCAGAATTCCAGAACATGACAAAAACAAGCCATTCAAATGAAAGTAACAACCCCGTCTTGTGCAGAAGATTCTGCAGAGAAATAGTCACAAGTTTGGTAGGCTATTAAACTGTGATCACCTCATTTAAAAAATGCTTTCAAACTAGGTCTTTTAAATAATTTTCTTTAAAATTCCCTGAAGTCTCCCATATGCTTTGTTCAATAAATGCCAAATAACTGATGTAGTCGACTTTCCAGAATCATTCTATATAAAAATACATACCATTAACTTCATTTCAAGAAGAAATAGATACTACTGAGTAAATGAAATACTCATCTAGGCAATATACGTTAATTCAAAGACAAAAAAAAAAAAACAGGCAAAATATATGTATTGTATAAACTCCTTCAAGTTTGTAAACACTATTTCATGGCATTCTACCACCTACCTTGTATCGGTTTCAGATTTATGTTTCATCTCCATGATCTCAACCATGAAGAGGTCAATAGGTTCATCTTGTTTTTTAATGGCTAAAATGGAGTCCACTACAGCCTGCAACAGAGTATAACCATTCAATGAATTTGACTAGCAGAAGTTGAGACACTTATGTTTATTCTTCAGAAAAGTTTAAAGCAGACAGCTTCTCGTCTTTAAAAATCTCTGTACTGATCTAAGTCTTTTTTTTTTTTTTGTGGTACACGGGCCTCTCACTGTTGTGGCCTCTCCCGTTGCGGAGCACAGGCTCCGGACACACAGGCTCAGCGGCCACGGCTCACGGGCCCAGCCGCTCCGCGGCACGTGGGATCTTCCCAGACCAGGGCACGAACCTGTGTCCCCTGCATTGGCAGGTGGACTCTCAACCACTGCGCCACCAGGGAAGCCCCCTAAATCTTTTTTTACACGCTAATAGAATGCATTATTTGTAAAGGGCTGAAGTCATCCACATTTCTGAAACCTCAATGTGTAATTACCTAAAGGATCACTGACATCTCTACTACTAGCGGCTTTTTAATAAGGAAATCTCCATTTTAGAAACCTCTTTTACTGAAAGCTCTGATTATACCTTCATAACCTGGCCAGGTATGCTATTATGATTTTCTCACTTTACTTATTTTTTCTATTTTTAGGGCCACAGATCAGGTTATCACTGCCATAAAAATGAACCTACTTACTCCACACAGGATGGTACTGTGAAGACTTCAGATGGCACTCTATAACTGGAATTAGTAAGAATACTGATGTTTCCAGTTGCCAGGGGTTTTCAGTATAGGTGTAATGTACCAGACACATACCAAATTTAACACATACCTCTGTTAAGACATCAGCAAGTTCAGCATGAACTTTAGTACGCAGAGATGTTCTGGCCACATCTATAAGTGTTTCCCTGTCCATCTCTTTGCTTACTTTGACTTGTTCCAAAAACTGAAGTGCCTTTTCCTTTGCAGCTTCAAATCCTTCTGTAATTATTCTGGGATGAAGACCCTATAATAAACACACAATTACAAAACCGCCACTAACAACAGAGACCTTCAGTTAGATGCAACTATAGCTCACGATAAAGCAAATTTATGAAGGGATATTCTGGATCATTCATACCCTTAAACACAATTAATATAATGTGCTGACTTTCTGAATACATTTAAAAGGATAAATAGCCCTTTCAATGCAGAGGAAAAGAACAGACATTGCTCTAGCACAGAGTCAAAGCCAAGGGAACTATAAAGCACACTTGGGTGTTCACTGTGCAAACCACAAGGGATAATGCCCAAAACTCAAAACTGTGTCCTAACAATTGGCAGTCAATAGGTCCATTATATCTTTCCTATAGGTGATATGAAATTAATTCACACCATTTACTAATAAAATAAACAGGGAGACTAAGAGTCTGCTTTCTCTCTCTTCCCAGGAAATTCTTCCTAACATCAGATTAGTACTCACTGAGGTTTGCTTTAACCTTGGAACTACTGAGGGCTAAAAGAGTTTTAGTATTCTTATTTAAATCCAAGGTTTTTGTTAGCTTTTTCCTTAAAAATATGCCTAATCCTGAATATTCCATTTCTACACCACAATTATTAATCTGTTATAGGCATATAAAAACTGTATATGTAATGCAACTTGATAAAAAACACATTTCAGGCCAAGGAAGATTCTTCAGCTCATCCAGGATCATAGTAAATTTGTGTCAGAGTAGGATACAGACCCCTGTTCCCATATTTAACCCCATGCTCTTTACATTCTATTATATGGCCTCAGTTACCACTAGCACATCAGTTTTTATAAGTAAAAGTAAGATTATTTCCTATACACAATAAAATATCACAGAAACAAGAGAATCATGTATACTTCAGAAATGTAGAGATCCGCCTGCTTCAGGAGCTCTCCAATAATTAGGACATTGGAAGTAGTACCATCACCAGTTATGTCATCCTGGGCTGTTGCTACTTTGGCTATTAAGGAGGCTGTTGGGTGTTGAATTTGCTGCAGGTAGAGAAAGAAAAAAATTCGTGGAACAACTTAAAAATGAAAACAGTCCAAATATACCTTAAAATGTGTGAAGGGCTAATCTATCTGCACAAAATGCCCAAGTGTACAGCTACATATTACTGTGATTAAAAACTCACCATTAGCTATCAGTTTATGATGACAGAAACACCTTCATATGTAAATTTGTTTCCTTCTCAGATTATTTCCACTTTACTGATGAGGAAATGTGAGACCCACTTAAGGTTAACTCAAGGTGATAAGAACTAACAAGAACAATAATTTCAAATCCATGCTCCATGCATGCCTCTTTATGACAAATTTAAGATTCTTTTGAGAATAAACCAAGTGCCTTTTAAATGAAAGCCCGGCTGCCCAGTTTACTTGGCACTGAACAAATAATTAAAATAAAAAAGAAAAGAAAAGAAAAACTTAGCCTCTTTAGCAAAGATCATCAGTGGATGCTAAGTCACTCTGGAAAGGTTTTGGAAAAACAGAATATTCATTGTTTGTCACCCACAGATTCTTAATTACAAAGGCTCCAACATGGCTCCTGCACTGCTTTTGTCTTCTTATACTCCTTTAATCCTGTACAGTTGTCCAGTCTTTTATGTCTTTGGGGACACTCACAGTTTTAAGAATCTAAGCAGACTATCATTCAATTAGTGAAAATTTAAAAGTCATGTAGGGACGGCTTTTCTGACATCAAGTTTAAACTAACTATGGCTCCTACTGTTCTCTGCTAGGACAGGCCACCACTTAAGCCACGAAACAAAAACTACACCTTCTAGGTTAGCTATTCCTTACTGAAGATATTTACAAACACCTGGAATGTTGAAGGCATGATATGCTATTATCAAAACCCTAAATTTTACTCTAAACTCAAAACATAGGCAAGTCATTTCCTTTTCTAGGATTTGAACTGTTAGGTTTTGGAAACTTAGGGATGAGTAAAATGACTGCTCTTCTCGTAACCTCAGATTCTTAGTCACTGGGACTTTAAAAATGGTAGTTTTATTTCTCCTTCAGTTGGTGGTGGAGAAGTGTGATATAACAAAAGAAATGCTGTTTGAAAAAGTATAACCATCCTGTCGCATTTTGCTTCCCTGATTATGTCAATGGCTCTCAGTTTTTATTAGAATTTTAGTAATTAAAACCCTTTAACAAAGGCCTTAAATGGCAAGGGCAGGGGATTCAAAAGGAAGTTTATTAGATTCCAGAGCTCTCACTGTATCGTACTATCAACAACAGTACTGATTACATTTTTTCTACTTCTTCCGTTGTCTGGAAAACTACCTGTTGAGAAGGATGAATATGATTTTCTCCAACTTTGTAAAATAGTAAAAGTCTTCCTACAAATCAAGTGTACTACGGAAAACCGAGACATTTTGGACCTAGTCTAGCAGCCTCTCACCATTTCATGAAGCAGCACATTTCCATCTTTAGTGAGCTTGATGTCTCCAGCACCAGAAACAAGCCTGTTCAATGGGCAGAAATGAATCACAGTGTGACTTTTTCAATGGAGACTAAATTAATAGGCCCATAAAAATCGGGCTTTACCCAGATCCTCAGGAGCTAGGGCCAAGGGTTGGTTCTCTAATTCCGGTAACAGGAATGGTGCAATGCCCACCCCCTCCCGTCTAGGAAACAGTCCTCAGGGTCTCTTAGGTCCCAAGCGCGGGGGGCGGGGAGGGCCGCGCCGCGCACGCGGGCAGCTTTGTTCTTGGCGGAGGCGGCATCGACCACCAAAGGAAACGGCCAGGGCAAGAAATAGGACCGACCCAGGACAATGCGGGGAAGAAAGGCCGCCGCGGCGAGCGCAGAGGCCCGGAGGCGGCGAGCTCTAGGCCTCGGTCCCCGACGCAGGCCCGCGACAGCGCGAGGTGCGTGGTGCCAGTCCAGCCCTCCCCGCCAGCCCCGCCTTACATCTTCATGGTGCCCTTAGGCCCCAAGTTGGTCCTCAGCACGTCCTGCAGCCCCCGGGCCGCGCTGATATTGACCGCCAACGCCGCCTGGGCTCGGGCCACCTCAGCCTTGGGATTCAGGGTCTTCACGGCCGCCATAGCTGACCCAGCAGAAAAAAATGAGGTAACCCGGCGTCCGGAAAGCCCAAAGCCCGTTCAGCGTGGCTGGGAGGCGCTATCCGGGTCTTCTGGAAAAGTCGGGCGCGCCGGGCCAGCCTCCAGCGTGCCCGCGCGCCGCCGCCATTGGGCCTCGGGTCGACCGGTGCCACTCATTGGGTCGCGGCCGCACGTAGCCCCGCCCCTCGCGTTGGCCGCGGCGCCATTGAGGTTGGGAGGAGCGTTTCCCCCTGGCAAGCAGGGCTTGCAGGATCCCCAGTGCGCTACCCAGCGCCCGGTTTTGCTGACCCCGGACCTGAGGGCGTAGGCGGAGCGGGCTTGTTGGCCGCGTGCGTCAGGGCGTGAGGGGAGAGGTGGCTGCTCTTTCCCGGAGGTCTCCGGCCGCAGGGTGTAGGGTGGGCCTTCTCCCTCCCCCACTCGCGCCGTTTGCCCTTTTTATCGCCTTGCTGCTTTCATCCCGGTCACTAGTTTTCTTGACTGTGTACTGTGTGCTGGACGGTGTTCTAGGTGCTGTGCGGGGGTAACAGAGTGGATCTGATAAGGACCCTCGCCCAGTATCGTAGGTGTTTTAGGCGTAGGGAAGACGAAGAGATATAATGCGAGGTGGAAAGTGCTAGAAGCCTTTAGAAAGCTACCTGATTGGTGCGATGGCAATTGAGGAAAAGCAAGAGTCAGTCCACCCTTCGGGCACACGACACAGTGCTGAGGCTTCAGGCCCTCAAAGCAGTTTTGAAAACTCAAACTTCGTTGAGCAGTGGTGTCCAGCCTTTGAGAGGACTCCTTTATTCTGAAAGATGTACACAACTGTTTTCTAGTATCCAGTTCTCGCCCCCTGCCTAGATACCAGGTATTCACTGATGTTTTGTATTTTATTTTTATAGGTAATGACTAAAACTGTTCAGAATTCAGAAGGTGCCAAAGGGTATATGGTGAAAGGTCTTCCTCCCTCCTCTAGTTCAACTTCCTCCTGGCATGTACCTTTAGCTACATAAGTTTCCTTTAGATAGTGTGAATTCCTCAGATGCTCTCTGAATTTCTAAATAAATGCGTATATAAATATAAGACATTTCCGCCACACAAAATGGCAATTTATAATATGCACTATTTGGTGTGTTACACTTAAAGTATCTTGGAGATTGTTACATATCAATACAAATACGTCTTCTTCATTCTTATTAACAGCTGCATGATATTCTTTATAAGAATGACCTGATTAGCCAGTCACCTACTGGTTAACATTTAGATTGTTCCCAGTCTTGTCCTAGCGACTGCCGTGGTATATAATGCTTTTAAGTGACTTTGTGTATTTGAGAATCACGAAAGCATCTAAGTTTGAGTTACACAGTAGAAGGAGATGCATGATTAGTTCTGGAGATCCTTAATCCTCAAGAAGCAGGTAGCCTAGTTAGGGAGATAAACTTGTAAAACAGTGACAGTAAAGTATAGGATGTTTTATTTAAGGGATGAATGCAGTGCTCTGAGCACAAATGTATTAACTCAGAGTATCAGGGAAGGCTTCTTGGAGGAGGTAAGTTTTGAATGATACATAGATACTTTGCAGGAGAAGAGGGCTTAGGAGAGTGATATCAGACAGAGAATGACAGTGGAAGGGCCTGGCATGCCCAGCGGAAGGCGGGTGGATAAGATTTGCAAGAGACAAATCTGGTGAAGTAGCCTGTCCTGACTGTTAGGGCCTGGTTTGCTAGTTAAGAAGTCTGGGCCTAAGCCTGCCAGCTGGATTCTTTGGTGAGAATCCACCCAAAGAACTAGTGATGAAGATAACACTGGAGGTGGAATGGAGGATGAACTAAGGGAGAAGACTGAGGATAAGGCAATCAGAAAGAAAGGGGTTGAAAAGTCCATGCAGAAGGTGATGAAACATTTTTAATAACATAAATAAGGGGGAAAATCATGTTTTAAATAGCATGTATAATATGTTCTCAGTTTTTTAACCATTCCCCATGCATCTATTCAAAAAAGGACAGAGGATATGCATCAAAATATTAACATTGGGGACTTCCCTGGTGGTCCAGTGGCTAAGGCTCCGCACTCCCAGTTCAGGGGGCCCGAGTTCCATCCCTGGTCAGGGAACTAGATCCAACGTGCTGCAGCTAAAACATCCTGTGTGTTAAACTAAGACCTGGCGCAGCCAAATAAAAATTTAAAAAGATATTAACATTGACTATATTTTAAAAATTTATAATGTTTCCATTTTTGCAGCCCCCCCAATTTATGTATCCATAAAAGCGGGATGCAGAATTATATACGTGAATATATGAAATATACAAAGTATATCCAGTGTCTTATTTTTATGAAATCATGTATCTGCACATATGATTTCATAAAAATATTAAATATTTAGGGGACTTCCCTTGCGGTCCAGTGGTTAAGACTGTGCTTCCATTGCAGGGGACATGGGTTCGATCCCTGATCGGGGAACTAAGATCCCATGTGGCACTGCCAAAAAAATACATATATATATTAAATATTTATATATATAAAGGACAGGAAGGATATCCTCAAAATGTTGAACATTTGTTTCTACCTTTGCCAATTTTATAGGTGAAAAATGGTATCTGAAAGTTCTGGGGGTTTTTTTTGGCTGCACCGTGCAGCTTGCAGGATCTTAGTTCCCCCACCAGTGAAAGCATGGATTCCTAACAACTGGTCCACCAGGGAACTCCTTCATAGTTTTGTTTGTTGAGGGTGAGGCTGAGCATACATCTTATATGTAAGAGCCATTTGTAGGTTTTTTTCTGTGAACTGTCTATTTATGTCTTCTGTTTTCCTATTTGGTTTCTTATGGATTTGCAGGAGCTCTCTGTGTTTTCTGTGTTGCAATTAATTTGTCCCAGTGTTATTTATATTTCGTATTTATGCCTTTTTTTCCCAATTAAACGTTAAAATTTTTTTCAGGTAGTCAGTTGTATCTTTTTTCTTTTATGTGTGTTTGAATTTTGTGCTATACTGTGTAAAACAATCTTTACAGACAAAAAATATTTTTAAATTTCTCCCATGTTTTCTTTTGTATTTTTAAGGTTTTGTGTTTCATTTTAATCTTTGATTCATTTGGAATTTATTTTATTTTGGTAAGGAATGAGATAATCTGTGATATAATAAAAATATATATTTGGTCTTTGTCCATGGTTCCTGGAACAGAACTAAACCATTTGTTTTCTGAGAGATAGGAGTGTCTTTTGTTATCCATTACAGTCCCCTTTAGAATATACCTGAGTCTGTGCTATTGAGGTGAGTCAAGGTAGGGACCCTAGATAGCCTCAGGGTGGGGGCTGGTCACTAGAAAGACCAACCATGTGATTAGAGGATGGGAAGTCTCAGCCCTGTGCCTCCAGCCTCTGGAGAGTGGAGGGGGGCTGGAGATGGGTTATAAAAATGCTTGAACAATCAGTGTGAGTGAACCCATTGATGTCCTGGCAGGGTGGTACACCCAGAGGGCATGCTAGCTCTGCGTCACTCCCCCAGTACCTTGTCCTGTGCACCTCTTCCATTTGGGTGTGCCTGAGTTTTATCCTTTCTAATAAGCTACTAAACCTAAGTCAAGTGATTTCCTGAGTTGTGGGTCAGTCTCAAAAATTTTCAGTTTCCCCTAAGGGGATTTTGTGGGAACCCCTGAATCTGTAGCCAAGTTGGACAGAAGTGTGGGTAGCTTAGGGACCTGGGACTTGCAACTAGTGTCTGAGTGGAGGCAGTCCTGTGGGTCTGAACCCTTAACTGTGGGGGTTGCCCTAACTCCAGATAGTGTCAGGATTGAGTTGCTGGTCACCCAGTTGGTGGTGGAGAATCAGATCCAATTTAATTTTTCTTCCAGAATAATTAATGTTTTCCACCATTAATGTGTAATATAATTATTAGCGTATGCTACATTCCCAGATGTATCTGGATCTACTTTGGACTATATTCAGTTCCATACTGTTGTAAGTTTCACCACCATATTGTTTTATTTACTATAGTTTTACAGTATGTTTCAAAATTTGGTAGGGCCAGATCCTCTTCATCAATCTTTTTTCAGAAAATTTCTGGCTATTTTGCATGTTTGTTTTTCTTTTTAAATAAATAATAGAATTAATCTAGTTTTTAAAAATCTTTTTTTATTACTTTTTAAGTAAAATACATGTTTTAACAGGTGGAATATTCAAATTTATGCAATGGAAGTGGAGATAGCAAAAGGCCAGGGGCTAGAGGCATTTCTGACATAAAATTGACTGAATTTCGAAACATGTGCTGCATAGTTACCATTTCTAGTCTAGGAGTCTGAAGAGGTCAAGGAAATTCCAGAAAAGGCAGGTTTTGTATGGGGAGGTGGGGTAACAATATTGATTTTAGGTAATGTTTCTTCTGTTGTTGGCCATTCATTCTCTGAGTGTCTACTGTGTTGTCGAGTACTGTGCTTGGAGTAAATATACACATGAAAAGGGAAGGCCCCTTCAAAGACTTCCCAGTGTAGAGAGACAAACACACAATAACATACATAATATATACAATTAAGACCTGTTATGGTATGTATAATCTCAGTGCATGCTATTTAGAGAAGACTTCCTAAAGCAAATCTTTTTCTTAACTATTGAAAAAATATATTTGATTTTCTTATTACAAAAATAATACATAATCATTATAGAAAAAGTAGCAGAAGCAAATAAATTTAAAATAAATTAATAATCTCATTGCTCAGAGGTGACCATTTGTGATGGTTAGTTTTATGTGTCAATGTGGCTGGGCCATGGTGCCCAGATATTAGGTCAAACATTACTCTGGACATTTCTGTGAAGGTGTTTTTTTTTTTTTGGATAAGATTAACATTTAAATTGGTGGATTTAAAATTTAAACATTAAATTTACTCTATTGTAAAGCAGAGTATCCTACAATAACGGGTGGGCCTCCTCCAATCAGCCGAAGGCCTTAATAGAGCAAAGACGTTATCTCCCCCTAGCAAGAATAAATTCTGCTAGCAGACAGCCTTTGGGTTACCAACCCTCTATGATCATGTGAGCCAATTCTTTAAAGTAAATCAATCTCTCTCTCATTTTAACGTGGATGATGCCCTACATGTCTTCACTTTTAACAGTAGATACGCTGTGAGGCTGTATATCTATATATCTAGATTGATATGTATAGATAGATATCTAGATACA